TGATTTTTTCAGTAGAATTTACTAAAAACGAGTAGGGAATGCCATCGACTCCTGGCGAAGAGTCCTTAAGACCGCATAAAGCAGTCTGAAGCTCATTAAAATTAAAAGGTTTATCCATGGGGTGACTAGAATGGAGGACGAGATACGGACAGAGAGGGAGACAATCTATAGGTGGAACAAAGGGTGGAGCCAGTTTATCTGCAAAAGTGTCCATCCATTCTGCGGGGTTATTTGAAGTCGGATTGGGACGGTCGGAAGCCTTGCGGAACCTCTTTATTTGTTTCCAGACTTTAGAAGAGGGGGTGCCAGGCGCCATTTCCTCACAGAACCTCACCCAGCTGTCTCTCTTTTTCTTGGCAAGGAATTTTTTTGTCCGGGCATCTGTCTGTTTGTACTGCAAATAGTTATCCATTGTCATGGACAGATTATATTTTTTTTCCATCTCCTTCCTTTTTCGAATCACGTCAGTACATTCAGCATCCCACCAAGGTGGGTGTTTTTTCCTAAAAGAACGGTTTTTTAGGGGGATGTGTTCATCTGCCGAGGAGATCATAACTTCTACTAAGGATGAATAAGCAGAGAGGCAGTTGTCCCGAGATATATCCGGTAGGGATGCTATTTTGACTTCAGCTGTTGCAGAATATGAAGACCAATCAGCTTTATTTAAGTTATACTTTAAAAGAGGAGGATTCGTATTATGTGGGTTAGAAGAGTTGGAAGGCAAAGAGATTACGATGGGGAAGTGGTCACTGCCAAATGTACTGTAGAGAATGTCCCAGTTAAATTGTGAAGCCACATTTGGAGAACAAACAGTAAGGTCCACCGCACTGGAGTTCTGAGATGGGGAAGTCCGCCTAGTAGGCCGGCCAGTGTTAATGACACATAGGTTCTCTTCGTCAAAGAGATCAAGAAGAAGAATGCCAAAGCTGTTTGACTGTTGAGATCCCCAACAGGTGTGGTGGGCGTTGAAGTCACCCATTAGGGTGATTGGTGGTGGAAGAGCTTTAATGATTGACCGAAGCTCTTGAATGGAGTCAGCGTTAGGGTGAGGAATGTATATTGAGGCAAAAGAAATGCCAAGGACTTTCACTGCCACTGCATTAATTCGGTCTGAATTATGGGGGGGAAGAATTAAATTTTCATAAACCAAAGACCGTTTTACCAGAAGGGCGCTTCCCGCCCATCCATCACTCCTGTCATCCCGAAGGCATGAGAACCCAGAGACACTAAAGTGCCTGTCTGGGTTTAACCATGTCTCCGATATTGCAAGTAATGATGGAAACTCCTATGTTATTACCTTACTACAGTTGAAAGAAGATGTTGCCAATTATTTACAGAGTCGTCAATTTCGCATTTCCTTAGAATATTTATTCCCATTTCTCTGATTAACTCTTCACAAAAAGTTTTTTTAAAGCAAAAATAAATACAAATAATTTGTTATCATTGGCCTGACAGGAAATCTGCGGAGTTTTATTTTGTCCATTTGCAAAAATTAAAGGGTTAATTATCATACAGCCTTGTCTCAAGCCTGATCACAATAATAAAATCTTTTATTTGAAGCCTTCTGTGATTTGTTATAATAAAAATTAGGACCAAATATGTCATAGTTTGAAGGAGTTTAGAAATAATATTGTTTATTTCGATATACTTACACAAATATTTTTTGTGTAAGTATATCGAAATAAAAATATTATATTTGTTGCTCATTTATTTAATAAAACGGAACATTTTGCTTTAAACAGACATGAAGTCAATTTTTATACTTTTAAATATTTGATTATTTCACGAAAGTTGTATTAGAATAATATACACGTAATAATTAATAAAAAAATATTGTAAAGTTACGGGCTTGTGCGAAATATTTATACACGTTAAGGGCAGTTGCTTAGCCATGTCTTTTGAAGTAAATCCATGCAGTACTTTTGAGTTTGTCCCGGACATACATACAGACAAACAGAGAAACAGACAATAAATCTAAAAACTATATTTTTTGCTCCAGTATCGATTGTAGATCACACCCCAAGTATTCTTTTAAAAAAATATTCAATGTACAGTTTTGACTTTCCTACCATTTTTTTATATGTATGGATCGGGGGCCGTTCAAGTATTACGTAAGCACTATAGGGGTCAGAGGGGGTCGTTGCTTTGCTAATTTTGATGACATTGGGGGTGGGGGTCGAAATAGTGATTACGCAGCATCATGTATTCGGGTGTCATGAAGACTGTTAATTGGAATTATTATGTAAGTTTGTTTTGTTCGTATATATAAGATTTTAATATTTGTACCTTAGTCTATGTTAAATACTGTGTCAATAAAGTTTGTTTAAATGAATATTATGTGCGTTAAAGTCCTGTATCCTAAGCGTATTTAAGTACTGCTGCTCATGAAGCTCATGATAGCTCATGAATCATAAAGAAAACAGAATACATTAAAGGAAAAATGCGTATAGGTAACAATGTTTACGTTGGGGTAAGAGCTTTGCTGACTTTTGCTGACAAGGGGGAGGAGGGAGTTAATATTTGTACTAAATCTGCTTACGTAATACTTGAACGGCCCCTCAGGCTCTAACTTTAACTCAAAAACACTTGTTAAATTTTAATGAAGCTTGCTTTTTATATAAAGAAAATTTAGAATAAAAATATCCACTCTGCCTGGCTGGACTATTCGTAAAACTATTTTGACATTTATAGTGTGTAACTAAAGAGAAATTTGGAATATTCATCGATGCTTTTCAGAACAAGTATCTTAGTGTCGTTATAATAAAGCAGTAGTGGATCACTAAATAGCTCCGTGATCATCATTTCAATCTGTCAAGAGCAGTTAGCGAATAGGCTTACAGGTGCCAAGCAGGAATTAAATTTACTTTAGTTAGATTTTTATATCAAGCATGTTAATGCTAAAAATTAAAATACATAAGAATTTCATTTTCGCTCGTTTTTATTAGTTTTTAACATGCTCGGGGACTGAAACCTCAAGAATAATGTAGAAAAACGAATAAAAATGCGCTTTATTTGCCACTCAAAAAGTGTTTATGAAATGATGGTTGGTGTGTTAAAAAATAAACAACTTTAACTCTTTCTGTGATCCCTTTCAAAGCTAAAGCAGGTGTGAATGTGATCAAATCAAGCAAGCTAATCTCTTTTCCATGTATAAAGTGAAAGGGATTGTGGAAGGAATTAAACACATACACTTAGGACGATCAACGGTCAATAACCTAGCTCTGACAGAAGTTAAGCTTATCAAAACTTATATGTTTTTGTCGATTGTCGGTATAGTACCTACATTGATTATGTATATGCCTCCGTGTATTATAGAAAACACAATTATATTCATTGTTATATCATTATTAATACGGATTTGGTTAGTTTTGCATGTTTTTTGAAATATTTTGTGGAAATTTGGAATCTAAGTGCCTTTTAATATAGGTTATAAAAGTAACTTGCAAACGAAGATTTTATAGTGTACCACTGATTTTGAATGCTTCTGTTCAGTATTTTAATACATCATTCCCTGCTCAAAATTATGTTTGAGTTAATTTTTTTCCAAATATGGTTTGAACTATTTTGCTGCTGTTAAAAGGTTTTGTCATGTTTATAATAATATTGTTATGATTTGCGATTTTACTCTGTGAATACAAGTGCTTTTTACTCGCAAGTTGAGATGCGGTCCAGCGAATAATATTGCAAATATAAAAATGCGGTCAATGTGGCATACGAATTTATTATGACTACGCTATATGAGTCAAAATCTTCGTGTTCCTTGGGATAGATTGTTTACCCTGTATTCATGGTAAATATTTGCTTAAAAGCAAAGTTGAATGACCGTGTTTGTAAAATCTCTTAATTTGATTGTTGGTTTTTAATCCCTTTTGTGTTGTCAATTTAACACTAAATAGGTTTACCTATATATACTTCCGGACACATATCGATATATGTGTCCGGAATGTATCGATGTATGGGCCGATGCCCACCTAGTATTTTTAGTTTTGACGGTCAGGTCCCTAGCATACTTAAACAAATGTTACATTGACCACAGAAGTCGTGGAATGTTTACGGAGTTTTGAAGCTGATAAAAAATATATTATTGCTCAACCTAACATATATTTTTGCTACAGACAATCAAAACTTAACTAGAGATCTGATAATCTCATGCATCAAGATGTTGGCTATTATGGAAAGCACTTTTTTATCAATGAATCAAAACAAATTTAAAGGTACATAATGGTTCTTCGAGCCAGAATATCTAACGTTACTGAGTCAGCGTGCAATATAGCATATTAAATAGTTTTGCGTTTATACCCTGAAGCAAAATTTTGAAGCCGACAGAAACGATGTCAATTAACTATTGCTCAACCAACTTTTACCATGAATACTAGGATTTAGATTGACCTGGGTTTTGCTCAAAATATTTAAACCATATTTATTTTTATTTATTTATTTTATTTTATTTATTCGGTATACATAACATGTTACAATCAACAAAGTACTAACTTATAATAATTGAGGAATCAATCAAAATTGCATCACTTAACATGCATACACAAAAAATTTCGTAATATAAAACAAAGGACAATATATCGATATTAACTGTTACATTGCATTAAATTAAATTCATTCAAATAAAAACAAATTGAATACTGATTAGATAAAATTACTTACAATTGATTTAAATAATATTATTTTAAATCAGTGATATTTTTAATAAGACCAGGGTTTTTATAAAACCTTAATAATGTATGGGTTTTTGGTTATATTATTCTTATATAACAATTAACACTGTTTTTAATGTTTATTAGTAGTGTGTGAAAGTTTTTTTTTGTAAAATATGTGTGTAGTCTTAGTTTTTTGTTTAGTGTGGTGTTTATTTTGGATTGTTTTTACTTGGTGAATGGCTCTTTGTAGAGTTGTATGTAAGTAGTTTTTTGTTGTGTATAATTTTTTTAGAGGTCTATCCACTTTATATAATAATACATTTGTATATAAAATGTTGTAACCCACAGGTTACACATCGTGGAAATTTAGAAGAAGTGGTAAAGGCAATTCTCGCAATGCCTCCTCCAAAGAAGACTGAAGTAAAAAAACCAACAACGCCAGCACCAAGCGAAGATCAACCAAAACCAGTTAGCAAACCGCAGCCAACTTCAGAAGCGAAAGACGAAGATCGCATAGATTTCGTCAACGTGAAAGACCTAATAAAAGGTATGGAGAAACAGAGCAAAGATCCTAAACCAGTAGATTATTCCAAAGAGACAAACGGTTTTCACAAGAAACACATCGATAACGGAATAGACACATACGATAAAACCGAGGACATTGTGACGGAAAAGAACGAAATAAACGAGAGAGAGAAAACTGAAGACATCAGTGAGAATTCTGAAAAGAACTTTGTTAAGACTGATAGCGCCGAGTCCACAGAGTCGAGTTTATCAAGAAGCAACAGTTTGATTAACGGAATGCCTTCTCAAGCGCCGAAACCTTTGCCCAGGTCTTCTATATCGGAAGCAGGATCAGCTGACGAACATTCCGAAGCGCCCAAACCTAAACCAAGGACTACTGCAGTACCTATATCTGGTTATAAGGTTAGATAAAAATGTAAAATGTAGTGTGTGTATGCTATTTTTTTATTATTACCTATTTATTTTTAATAGTACTTGTTTGATTTCTGTTATTTTACTGTATTTATAGTGTTGATGTGTTTTTTTTTCATTATGATTTAAATAACGTTTGTAAGTTAAGACCGTATAATTTCTGGGTTATTGAGTGATTGTTTTTTTGACACCCAGTGTTCAGCTTGTAATTACAATAAATATGGGAATGCTTTATATTTATTAACGGTCAGATTCAATTAATCAAACTCCGCCAGTAAGACATAGGCATATTTTAAGATTTGTTGCCTATATTTTTTTTATTATTTAGGTTATAATAACTACTGTTGCTAAGAAACGGAACCAGATTATTCCTATCTTACTGGAGTTGTTTTTTTATTGAAACTGACCGTAAATCTAAGTTACTATTAAACTAATACGTACCTAAGTAGTTCAACGAAATTGCATCGGCTTAAACCCCGTGTTTATTGCTATTATGGATTAATTGGTGTTTATTTTGCCGTTTTTTATGCTTTATATGTATTACGATATCGATTATATTATCTTTATCGACGAGAATCATCTTTGTCTCTGGCCCCCTAGCATGAGCACCGTGATATGATATAAAGCTCGTATTTATCACGCTCAATTGGCAAATTACTATGGAGCTTGACAGTTGGATGTGATAAAAAAAGTTATATAACAAATTTTGGTGCTCATGCTACAGCGACTGGTTATAGCTTCGGTATTAGTTATTTACCCAATAAATGTGTCATTGACAGCCACGCCTTGGCCCCAAGCCGTTCTCAGCGTCCGCTGGCAACGAAGAGTTCTCCTTCGACAAAGTTTTCTCAGTACCAGCAGTTCCGGGCCTGACCAAATCTGATTCAGGTAAGTTTCTCCTTTAGGAATAGTTTTTTATCACATCTATTCGAAAAGAGCTAGTGTGTTCTCTATTTACAAAATAGCGGCCAAAATACTTTTTAATTGCTAGGGACTAAAAGTAATTTGGTTTACGAATTTGGATATTGTTGTATATTTTTTTTGTTCCCTTTTGTGGCCGGGGATGACCAATTCAGATTCATGTTTGTATGTTTATCATATCAATTTGATGAAATTACGATATTTTTTCAATAATTTGAAAACACATTGAAAATACTTCATAACTTACTTAAGAAGAGAATATATCAGCTCTCAGTTTTTGAAACAAAAACAATGCTTGTTTAAATATTAAAGTAAACCTCTACCTTACAGAAGAGCACAGTAAAATAACACTACCTTTTGGAGAAGTTGTGTTTCTGTTGGTGAGAAAGGTTCCAGGACTCCAAGGGGTAGGAGATTGGGTCAGGTAACGGCGCGAATGATATTTTTTGGTATCTCAAGCGATAGGCTATAGTGGCCGCTTACAGGCGGGCTTAAAGCTTGTTTGACACTTTTTTTTTTCATAAAAAAAAACATAACTTAGTTATAATTTTCATAGCTAAATTATGATATTTTTTTCTTAACATAGCAACGTCTCCGTTGTCTGGACCGGGGGCAACGACCCCTGCTGCATCAACGCCCATTGTCAAAGAACCATCCGAAGAAAAGGAAAAGTCTCTCTCGCCCACGAGCGATGTTGAAGTCGCACCTAAAGGTAAACAACGGAATAATAGTGAAGCATGTGTTAATTTACAGTGTTTATATAAATAATCTCATAATAATTAATGACGTATCCATACTGATATTATAAATGCGAAAGTCTGTCTCTGATACCGAATCACGCTTAAACCGCTGAACCAATTAAGATAAAATTTGGTATAGATTTTTTGAGTCTTGGGAAAGGACATAGGATTGGTTTCTATCCCAGTAATCATTATTTAAGGGGGTAAAAAGGGGGTGGAAGTGTGTACGGTAAGTAAATTGAAACGGGCAGACGCAGTCGCGGGTATACGCTAGTCAAAAACAAATAAACATTTATTTCAATAAAGTTAAAAATCGGTAAATCTCATTTTAATGGAGTGCGTTAATTTGACGAATTTAAAATATCAAAATTCTACTTGTACTCTGAACCCTACCACTAAGGCAAAATTCCAATAGAAAATTTCTTATCAGTTTAGTTTGAGTTTGAAAAGTTATTGCGTGCACATATTTAATACGATTTTTTTTTCAGAAGAATTTGCGAACGGCAAATCGGACACCAGCCTAGAAGAAGATGTGAACTCATCCGACTCAGGATACAGACCGAAGACGCCTAGTACTGCCGAAAGAAGGAAACTGTTTGAAACCACAGAGTAAGTTATAATTTCGATATTACAATTTTTAATTTGTTTAATTCACCATCATCATCAGCCTATTAATGTCCCCACTGCTGGGGCACTTGCCTTCCCTATAGGATCAAATAGGGAGGTTGGGCCATGACCCGTCACACGGGCCCTGTGTGGATTGGTGGGTGCTAACGACTGCAGATGCAGCCGGGACCAACGGCTTAACGTGCCTCCCGAAGCACGGAGAATAAATAAAGAAATATTTCCAACACTCACACCAATTAGCCTAGCCCCAAAGTAAGCACTGTAAGGCTTGTGGTATGGGATACTAGGGTAACGGATAGAATACATATATAAGTATATTTATATAGAGATACATATTTAACATCCATGACTGGAGTACAAATGCTCGTATTCATCACACAAACATCTGCCCCCACCAGGATTCGAACCCGGGACCTCTCGAGTCGGCAACACCATGAAACCCGGCGCACAAACCACTCGGCCACGGAGGTCGTCAAAATCTCTCGTGCTACTAAATTTTTGGTCACCCATCCAATGACCAACCACTGCAAAAGTTGCTTAGCATCACATTTAACAATGATCGCAACCGAATCCGCTAACCACTTGCGCCATCGAGCTCCTCGTTTAGTTAGTTTAGTTTGATTGCCTTGCATGATTTTACAAAGTCATTCTTTCAACTATGTGATTAGGTTAACCTTAAATGCCAAGTTTTTCTGTTATTGGCTGGATTGTATTGTTGTCCTTATTCCGGCCAATGAATCCCCGTGTCTCGTGTGCGGTACTTTTACATTTTTGTGTTTTGTAAAGGGTTGTGTGATAAATAAAGCGCTAAAACGGCAATAATTCGTTTCTGTGAACAGAATATAATAATATGAATATAATATTAACAGCTGATTGTTCAGTCGAAAAGCTTTTTATAGTTGAAGATGTTTTTGCAGTTGAAAACTTTGAAAAACAATTTGACAACTGGTTTGTGCAAAGGGCAAAGCCTGCCTTCTGCACCAACGGTCCTGGCTTCGACTTCAGTTAGAGCATTTATTTTGACGAGCGAATTATGGTTATGAGCAGTACGCAATCTAAATATATAAAAGAAGAAACTGAGTGACTGATTGACTGACTAACATATTCTCTCTTCTAGAGACTCCAAATTTGGCCCGTAGGTTGCTTATGAAGTCTAGAGATGCAATAAGAAAGGATTTTCCAAAATTCGCCCCCGAAGGATTTACAATAGGGGATGAAAGTTTGTATGAAAAAATTTATTCATAAAGTTAATAGATTTAAAACTTGGCACCTATCTAAATAAATTATAAAGTTTGTAATTTTTAGTTTTCCTAAATTACCCTATAAACGGGCATTGGGAGCGTGTCAAGTTTTTATATGGATGAATTTTGATGTCCATTTCTAGTCATTCGAAAGTTGGTATTTTTACTAAAGACTTGAAATAAAGAACAACGTGTATCAGGGTTCATGGAAACTATCTATACCCCAAACGGGTTGGGACTTGGTAGTAAATAATACCGGGGGTTATTTTACTGTGGGTCTGGACTGAATCGTAAAACGGCTGAAAAAATAATAATTTTTATAACGAAAAATTTTAGATTATTATATCCAAAAAACTGAAATTACCATGGACGACATATATTATGATAATGTGCTCGTTTAGTAATCAAGTTAGAGGTTATTTCCTTTTCCAACTTTAAATCTTACCTCTCTCTTGTCTGTCTCTTTGGATATATCTATTGCATTTATTATATATTATTTATTTTATCATACCTGTTACACCCTCCTTCTTGTTGGCCTGGAAGAGATTGCTGTTTAGCAATAAGGCTGCCTAGTGTGTACGTTTTCACTGTCATGTTTAATGTCATGTATGTCCGGTGAGGTGTATGTCAATAAAATTATTATTATTTTATTTATGTGGATTCCGTTACAGTGGAAGCCAGTCTATAGCAGACCGGCGTCGCACTTACGAGATGCGGTCTGTGAGTGTGGTAGTGGAATCTGATACGCCTCCGTCGCCGGCACCGTTGAGGTAAACTTTATCCTCAATGTTTAGTTATTTCTAAAGAAATTAAAGATATCTTTATATATATAATTCTTCTGTGAGTGTGTATGTCACTGAACTTCTCTTAAACGACTGGACCGATTTTGATGAAATTTTTTGTGTGTGTTCAAGGGGATCTGAGAATGGTTTAGATTCACAATTTTATTTTTTTAGGGCGGTACGAAGTTCGCTGGGTCAGCTAGTATTAATATATATATCTTTTAAACTTTTAAAATTAACAGTAAAATATTTCTTTTAGGTATAAAAATCTGTCATATTTGAAATAGTTATTTTTCAATTATGTGTTTATGTTCATTTCACTTACTTAGAATATTTTTTCTATACCGGCAAAAACATATAGACCAAGAGCTACTGAACACTCCGAGTAACGGTCTATAAGGCTAGAAATTCTTATGGTGATGAGTCATAGCTTGCTTAGTACGGCACTGGCTATCCGGGCGAATGAACTGACCAATTATGCTACCGCGGTCCTGATGGCCGCGTCGAAATTCTTCTAGCCATTCTTAAGCTGCAAGGCAGCGCCATCTCTTCGCATTGTAGGTAATCCACAATGTCAAATGAATACTTTTACAAGTATTAAACATTTGAAAGAAGAAATAAATAAGAAGAAGAAAGTTTTTATTTTTTATTTTTTTTGACACTTTCAAAAATATACGGCTTCATGACGTGCAGGGCTGAGGAGTGCCTGGCGATGCTTACCGTACAAGCAGGCTATGACTCATCACCATAAGAATTTCTAGCCTTACAGACAGACCGTTACTCGGAGGGTTTAGTAGCTCTCCTACTTATAGTAGTAACTAGATCTTTATGCACATAATTGTTTAAAAAAAAAGATATTTCTCGTCTATTCAAAACACCTACCTCTCTTTGTCTTGAGCTTTAATTTTATTTTACATTTTCCTAAATACAGTTGTTTTTTTGAAATACGAAGATATCTATAAACTACTTGGTCCATTCAAGAAATCGATTATTCTTTCAACAGGCGAAGAGACTCGTTTAAGTCTCGCAAAAGTCCCGATCGTGAAGACAAGCGCGCTTCGGTGCCGAACGTCACTACAAAGAGGACATCTACTGTATTCGGTATGATTGATTTATAATAAAAACGAGTGTGCTTATGACCACACGACTGAAGGGAAACTTCTTTAGCTGTGTATGTAGTATGTGTCTATAATTATATATGTATGTGTACGATATATTCATGTATGTACATATACATATTTCATTTACTAGCTATAAGAGAAAGACAAAGAAAATATGTGCGCGCACTCCTTTCTCTTGCTTATATCCCCCACTCAACTCCCGTTCGCCTCGCCCGAACACACTTTTCGTAACGCGTAACGCATTCGCAAGCTTACACCCCAAGTCAAGCGTGCGTAAAGAAGTTTCACTAAAAACTCTTAAACTTTTATTACTACAATGTTTTGTTCTAGGGCTTGTAGTGTAAATTTATCAAAGACTCCGTGAAAAACTTTCCGAAGACCAAGCACGAAGTTTTGACAGCTCCGTAACGTACTGCATCGTCAATGTTTGTATGAAAACTAAACAGCGTTCCTGTCGGGCGTAAATACAAACTGGCTTAATCCATTCAAAATTTGACGATTACGATACGTTACGTAGCTGTCAAAAAATCGTGCTCCGGTCTCTGACTGTGGAAAACTGCATCAAAATATTAAAGAGGTAATGCAGGCTAGGTACCAATACTTAAAAACAGTTACAATAAAAATAAAAACAGACTTCGAAAAACAAAACCAGTAAAAAGAAGAATTAAAGCATATTCTGGACTTATATCTATCTACATTTAAGTCATGCATATTGATGTATCCGAGTTTTTGATGTATCTGCTTGGGTTGTCTTGGATTCTGCATTGGATTTTTCAGTTTCAATCTAATTCATTTTACACAAAGTCAGGAACTTCTGGTCCGATTTGAAAAAATCTTATTGCGTTGAATGGTACATCAATCGAAGAAGGTTATAAGCTATACTATATTTATATAATAAGGATGAGCCTGCCTCTCATAACACAGGGTAACCTTATATGAGAGCAGTTCTAATATTGTACAAACAAAAAAATATTTGGAATAAAGAAATTTTTGTTTTTTTTTTGTTTTTTGTTTTTATACATAAAGATACGACCAAAAGGAGCGGAGCACCAATGAAAAATATTGCAAAAATAATCCATTTGGAACTTCCGTTGGGTGCACTGAACTAAAATTAAATTGGTATTTGTAAAACCTAAACTCCATATATTTGAAGTAGGTCGCCATAGTATGAAATTATCTATCCTACTAGACGCTACCAATGACACTTGTTTCAGATCTTTTGGGGGGTGGGGATGTTTCTTATCATTGTCCTTTAGTTATAAGTTTAAAAAGAATCATGCCAGAATCGAGATTAATTCCTAATTAAAACATTTCTAATATTAAATAAATGTTGAACAGGTAAAGTATCGAAGTTCCGTCATCTGAAAGGCACACCCGGACATAAGTCGACGCAAATAGAAAACATCAAGAACATCAGTCGTCAGATCTCCGGCGAGTGCAACGGATTCTATGGTGAGCTGAAATTATTTCTTTACCTAATTATTTTGTGGTTTACTTAGGCGCTTTGCAGACGACGGGGCGGGGCGGGCTTTTTGTCCGCGAAGCAATAAAAACCGCGTCTGCCTGTCGATGTCTGCGGCTGCCCTCGCCGCGTACACAAAGCACACGACGGGCAGAGGCAGTCAGTTCAGGGGGCCAATCGCCTAACGGAAATGCTTTGGGAAACGCTAACGCTTTCGATTTTATATTGTTATTTCTAGCCGCCTGAGGTTTTCGAATACCTCACGCTCATTTTTTTAAATATTGTTATTACCAATGCAAAAGAAAAAGAAAGAGGCATTTGAATACCTCAGGCGGCTAGAAATAACAAAATAAAATCGTAAGCGTTAGCGTTTTCCAAAGCATTTCCGTTAGGCGATTGGCCCCCAGGACGTTATAATATTCCATCACTAAAAAGCGCGTGGCGCGGACTGAGATAGCCGCCCCGCGCCGCCGTCTGCGTTACTGCATATAAACTGGTTTGTATGATCCACGGCGGGCAGCCGCGGACATGCCGCGCCGCCAGTGCCCGCTACCTGCGGCGCGGTCTTTTTGCCCTCTGTGTGCGTTTGTAGTATAGGATTCACTTTGTGCTATCGTTCGCTGTGAAATTGACCGGCCCGCTCCGCCCCGCCTTCTGCAAAGCGCCTTAAGAGCAAAACAGGGTTATAATAGGAATCTGCCTAAGTAATTAATTTAATTTTAGCAATACAGTTATCCCGTTGTACTAAATGCACCATTGACTTGCACTATTAATGGTGCAAATGAACCATAGATCCTGTAGATAGTGTGACCATTGTGATGATACTTATACATATGAATGCGGTTATTTAGATATTTCTTTTTGCATGTTTAATTTTTGTTGTGGTTATTTTTCCTTACTAATAATAATAATAATTTGATGGCTTTTATTGCGCTTATCTATGCGGTCGCGGCCATGATGGCTCTAAGATTTCTTAGGCTGGTCTGTTTACTTTTTGTCTCGGAAGAAGTTGAATAGGGTATAGTGACCGATGAAGACTATAGTTTTCGCAAAAGAAAACTTTATAAACCTTTTTCTTTAATCTACTGCTGAAAAGTTGATTTAAATCCTTTTTTGACGACCTCCGTGGTCGAGTGGTTTGTACGCTGGGATTCATGGTGTCGCCGACTCGAGAGGTCCCGGGTTCGAATCCCAGTGGAGGCAGATCTTTGTGTGATGAATATGAGCATTTGTACTCCAGTCATTGATGTTGAATATGTATTTCTATATAAATATACATATGATTTGTATATGTATTCTATCCGTTACCCTAGTATCCCATAGCAAAAGCCTTGCTTACTTTGGGGCTGGGCTAATTGGTGTGACTGTTGGAAATATTATTTATTTTATAATTTTGTCACACAGCCAACGGGGTCCGTTGCGCCGTCCCCCTAGGCGGGGGCGGAGGCCGAGTTGGTGTGATCGAGCTCCCCGTGGGGGCTACTGTAGCGGCTAAGGCGGCGCCCCTCCATCCCGGGGGGCTGCAGCCCTGCGCCCTGCTGCATCCCGCGGTGCTGCAGGACTGGGCCTGGGACCCCTTCCGGGACAGCAGGCTGATAGTGGCCTGCGACGACGGACTGGTGCGAGAGTGGATCATACCCGAGGGTGGTAAGTAACGTCATACATACTAATTCCATATGATAGTGAATCACACCCGAGTGCGGTGAGTGCCGTCATACATACTAATACCTACTATATGACTGGATCATACTCGAGCGCGGTGGGTAACGTCCTACATACTAATCCATCCGGGACACCTCCATCTCGGGGGGCTGCAGCCCTACGCCCTGCTGCAGGACTGGGCCTGCGACCCCTTCCGGGACAGCAGACTGATAGTGGCCTGCGACGACGGACTGGTGCGAGAGTGGATCATACCCGAGGGTGGTGAGTGTTAAATATAAAGACTGGGTTGTGCACAAGTAAAACGAGCCGATGCTAGGTACGCACTGCTTTATTTGACAGACACGACAGTGGTCGCAGCCACCTACATATGTGTATACACACATAACAGTGAGTAAAGTACTTACAAACTAATCATCCGGGACATCCGGGGACTGCTGAGCTTTCTGGAGGAACTGGGATGACAGGACTAATGCCAATCGCCACGCAAAATAGGCACTGGGTGTCGAGTTGCGGAAACAGCCCGCCGTACCACTAAGACATAGTAATCCATATTGTTATAGGTCCTGTCACTTAAAATGACTGCTGGTTTTGTACCTGTCCATCGCGCGATTTATCGACTATCGCGATTAATTCTTCCCTGTAACATACAAAAACTTATTCTTAAAGTACGCTTCGCGAAAAGTGGCATTTTTAGGCGTTTAGCGTAATGCGTTAATATGGAGTCATTTTATCATTTCATCAGTTCATTTGTCCGAGCTCGTCGCGGGATAGGCCGCTCAGTCCCTATGCTTCTTATTAACCCCTGGTCTGTGTACATAAGTGGATGATGTCTACCTTCTTTCTTCTGATGATGATGAAGTTGAGAAAATTATTTTCATATTTTAAGGAGATTACTCGGCTTCCATACATGTTTGCCGCCCCTCCCTCGCTGCCTTCCAATCAATAGCTATAAGATTAGGTGATTAATTTTGAGAATAGTAGGAGGGCCCGTCTATTTGGTTATTTTATATTTTGTTTCTGCAGAAACGTTATAAGAACATTCTTTCTTCACCAGGCTTACAAGAATCTACGAACGAGCCTAACAGAACATTCGCCGCTCACCCGGACAAGATTTACCTGATCCGATTCCACCCGACGGCTTCCGATATTCTCACGACTGCTGCCCACGACCAGACTGTCAAGATCTGGGATTTAAGTCCGGAGACTCCAGTGGCTTCTATAACCCTCACCGGTCATAGTGACCAGATATTCTCCATAGATTGGTCGCCGTGTGGGGAATACTTGGCTACTGTGTGCAGAGATGGGTTGATAAGGGTGAGTAATAGCTTTGTTAGACATTAAACTAGATTTAAAAATAACATGATGTGGGCTGCCATGACTGGAAATGCAAGATCTGGGACTTGAGTCCATAGATTCCAGTGACTGCAATAACCCTCACCGGTCATAGTGACCACATATTCTCTAAACATTGGTCACCGTGTGAGGAATACTTGGTACTGTGTGCAGAGATGGCTTGATAATGGTAAGGATCTTTAGTAATAGCTTTGTTAGTTAGCAAGATGTTAAAACTACAATATCTTGGAATTGAGTCCGGAGACTCCAATGACTTCTATAACCCTCTCTGGTCACAGTGACAAGATTCTCTATGGATTGGTCGCCGTGTGGGGCATATTTGGCTACTGTGTGCAGAGATGGGTTGATAAGGGTATTTTTTGTAATAGCTAAAAAAAATTATAACAACTGGGATCTCGGTAAGTGGAGTTCTGTGGCCTTTATAACTCTCACCGGTCACATGGACAATATATTTCGAAATGCTTAGCAACTGTGTGCAGACAATAGTTGATAAGGGTGATTTTCTTCCCTGACAGTTTTGTTAGCCATTAAGGCCGAAACAGACTTTTGAAACACGATGCCACCCGACGCCACGCGATGCGTATTTTCTATGATCACTGTGTGCGCATCGCGTCGCGTCGGATGATCCTAATGTGTTCGTCATTATACTTCAAAACTACAAGATCTGGGACATGAGCCTGGACACTCCAGTGACTTCTATATTTAGCAGTCACACTGACAAGATATTCTGATTGGCTACTGTCTGCAGAGGCAAGCTGAAAAGGGATTGTTATTAGTGTATTTCACTATTACCTTATAATGTATTAATTAATTTTAATATCAGTTAGTGTATCTATATTATTTTATATGTTTAAAAGAATACTAACAGATTTTAATGCACTGAAATTCTCAAAAACTCCACCTATTTTATGATTTTAACACATAATTTAAAAAAGAATCAAGTTAAAAGTGACACTTTATTTCCATATAACTACTTTTAACATACCAATCTACCAGGGCCAATGTCTCCTTACTTACACGGTGGAACAGAAAAAGGTTTCTGATATTTGCTGTTTTATCTTTCGTACAAAACAATTCTGACCTTTGAAATCAAACTTTGTATATTTTCTTGCATAATTTAACATGAGTTCTAAATACGCTATCTGACACCTTATCAACAAGTACTGAATTAGTCTCTCAGTAAGTAATTTATTGTTTGCTAGATATACAAACCTCGCACATCGACTGAGCCAATACGCAGTGGGCCGGGGCCAGTGGGAAGTCGCGGGGCTAGAGTAGTTTGGGCACTCAACGCCACGCATCTAGTGATCACTGGCTTTGATAAGTAAGTAAAAGACATACATGCACTTTTTTTTCGGTTGGAAAAATAGACAGAATTGACTGAAAGACACTCGCATGACATTAACAATAAGAAAAATTTATCCAATACATAGATGAGCTACAGGTCGTGTGATCGCTTCGTCTCTATTACACTTCTGTGCTCAGTTTTACTTTGCAATTTTATTTAATTTTATTCAGGACAATAAACAGTGGTACAATGCTCAATAGATAAACAGTATTGTAATACAGGTGACACTTTAAATTATTATTGTAGGACCAACTACATTATCCACTAATTAGAATCTACAAAATACATATTCTTGCGCTGCTTTAAGATTTTTTATTAATGCAGTAGGTACCAATAAATTAACAGACATAAAATAAGTAACTAAAAATAATAAGAGTGTTTAGGAAAATGTTCGCCACCAGTTGGCGCCACTTTGACATAAGTTCTTTTGTATGAAGTTTTTGGCGCGCATTAATCAAACGAGCATTTGAATAGATCTAACAACGATATTTAATACCCTAGATACACCAACACGAACAAAATCATGCCCGAAACCTGTCCAAAAGGTACATTAGACGATCCACGGAGCTCCGTAAGATCATCTCGCAGTCTAAACAATAAAAGGCATTATTTAAACATTGAAAATCACCTTTAAAGCACACTATATAAGGTCTTAATTAAAACGCATGCGTCTAAGAGTTATGACAGTACGATATGTAAGCTCGTAAAATTTCACGATTTATTGCTATATGCGGAAGAATATAGACTTTATTTCTTTGACTCTACGCGCAATTCTGAATGCACTGTTAGCAATATAGCAGGTACGGACCGCGAAGAAAGGAGACAGCTATATTACCGACCATGCATTTGAATATCACAAATATTTTCTATTAAATCAATTTATAGTATGTATTAAAACAAAATTTGCTTCAAATGCGTTAAATTAACAAATATTGATTAGACACCTGTCGAAAAAACGTGATTTTACATACTATAATGTATTTATTTCTCATTTTTTCACGGAGATCAGCGGCATGTTGACTTTCCAACGGTCCGCGCGTGATTGTGAACCAAGAAGTGCTTGAGTCGTGTTCAAGCACTTCTTGATAGGGACACATTTTGAGCGCACGTGGTGTATCTAGGGTATTTAATATCGTTGAGATCGAAGACTATGACGATATAGGTGATTTGACGGATGAGTAGACCTTTAGTCTCAGTGCTGCCACCTGGCGCCCGTCATTCTACAAAACCTTCATTAGATCGGGAGGGAGCGGGAACCATAGAGCTATAATAATAGAGTAGGGGAGATATAGACTCTACTATAAGTGGAAGTCTCCCTCTAATAGAAAGAGAAAGAAGATGAGAGACCGCTAGCTTTCTCTCTCTAATAAGCATTTTACTATTTCGATGTGATGCCATTGGATGCCATGCATCACAAGGGAGAGAGATAGCTAGTGGTCTCTCATCTTCTTTCTTTTTCTACTAGACGGACGCTTTTAGAGCCGCCTTCCCCACTCTATTCTTATACTTCTATGGAGGGAACGCTCAGTTCATTTTCTCTGTCTAAACATCCTCTACCCGTACTTACCTAAAGCTGGAGATTGATTTTAGTAATTAATCTGATCGATAATCATTGTTCTGTTTTGTCCGGATTAATAAATACGAATCAGAGTGTAAAAAATATATTATACTTGTAACCCGCTCTCGCTTCGCTTCGCTCGATCTGAAAAATGAAAATATTTAGGCGACAAAACTCCAATAGGGATATCTCTTGCTAGAGTTTGATTATTGACGACCTCCGTGGCCGAGTGGTTTGTACGCTGGGTTTCATGGCTGTCGCCGACTCAAGAGGTCCCGGTGGGGGCAGATGTTTGTGTGATGAATACGAGCATTTGTACTCCAGTCATGGATGTTTAATATGTATTTATACTCATATATGTACAGTATATGTATTCTATCCGTTACCCTAGCACCCCATAACACAAGCCTTATAGTGCTTACTTTGGGGCTAGGCTAATTGGTGTGAGTGTCGGAAATATTTATTATTATTATTATTATTGAAACTTACTGACTTTTGGTGTATAGATAGCGGGAGCAGGGAGCTACTTTGTTTTATACTGTGTAAGGATGGATGTTATGTTTCATAATAAATATCTGTCGTAGAGTATCGGAACGTCAAATTCTTCTATACAAAGCGTCGGATCTGTCTGCGCCGGTATGCACTGTGGGATTGGACGTTTCACCCGCAATACTGCAGATACACATAGACCACGACTCGGGCACTTTGTTCCTCACGGGAAGGGTAAGATTACATATTTTCAGACGCGAATTTAACATGTCGAGCAGTAATTATGTTTATAATCAAATATTTTATACATTCCCACTTAACTTGATATAGGCTATTTGACTGGTTTTTGAAAATGTTCATAAGTTATTTGTTAGTTATGGAGTTAAATATACATAATATTTAACTCCATAAGTAACAAAAAATATTTTTAAATATGCCGCGAAAATGTTTCTAGTCTTCTTTCTTTTCTGTTTCTTTCTTCGGAATGTGGCGTAATCACAGACAGGTGGCATCACACAGCTCTCTTGCACTTGCACGTCAAAAAGTACAAAGTAATGTCACTTCGTTAGGATGTTAACAAGCAGGTGACGTCGTTTTAGGCTCCGCCAATCCTAGACTTTTTCGGTCACGCACGTGACAATACTTTTCTAAAATCAAAAAATACTTTTATTTTCCATGATTTTTAGTAATATTATATATAAACTACTTTTTTTTGTCAATCTAGTGAGAGAATAGTTAAATCGCTCGCAATATTTATGTTAAATACACATGGCAAAATTGGAACTTTATTTTTCATACTGTCATATAGGCTATTGTGAAGTATGGCTTAAACAAAAAGCAATTAGAAAAGCGAATTTTTATTTGGAAATTACAGCAGATTATGGTAGTCGTCATGTATTTGCACGATGAAGCAATAGTTTAAAATATGTCTTGATATTTACATTATATAAGAAGATTTGTAACATAGATAGAATATTTAAGTGTAATAAAATTTCATTAGCCAGACTAATACTTAACTCGGTTAACTTTGTACTTTTGTTTCACACTTTTCTTGTTGAAAGCTCAAATGAAGTCGGAGATATCGAAAGAATAAATAGTTACTACATTTGTACTTCCCCTAATAAACTAACTTTTTATACTCTAGTCGCGAAACCAAACTAGTAAACGCTAGTATTAGTAGTTTTCCTTAATTGGCTGGATTGTATTACGGTCGTTACTCCGTCCAATAATAAGCCCCCTTTCCGCTTCAAGTTTTTGTTTTCACTAAATGAGTATCCTATCTCCTTCTCCAAGGTTACATAACTTTATCTCCATACCAAATTTTATAAAAAATTGGTCCGGCCTTTTAGGCAATTTGCTTTGATGCTCCTGCAGTCCCGCAAGCAACATTTTCTCATCCCTGACCAATCTTGTGCGATAGAAAGCGCTCCACTTACTTCTTTCTTTATCGTGAACACATTGTAGGACGTGTCTTTTAGCCCCCTTTTTATTTAATTATGTTCTAAATCTATAGAAATCAAAACTCGTATATATAGTGAATATAACAGCCTTTTAAAATATGTTCTAGATAATTATATTGCTATTAAAACTCATACCTACCATGCTAAAGTGTTTGAAAGTATTTTATTTCATTATCAGCCTATTCATAAAGAAAAAAAAGGAGAGTGAGTCATTTGAAAACCTTCGGAGGTCAGAAATAATAAAATGAAATCGTAAGCGATAGCGACAGCCATAGCAATCCCGTTAGGCGGTTGGCCCCTGCTAACGACTGCTGTCGAGATAAACGGCTTCACGTGCCTTCCTAATCACGGATGAGCTTGAGATAATTAGTAAATTTTTGGTCATCCATCTTTAACTTCAATGATCGCAGCCGAACGCGCTATTCACTTGCGCCATCGACCTCCCCCCCCCCCCCAAGTTAACAGAGTATAGGAAGTTTATTGCTTTTAGGGCCTTTTTAAATTATATTCTCGATATATTGAAATTGAAACTCGAACCTCCCAAGGTAACTGTTGGGTATTTTACATAAGTGGGTAACCAAAGATAAACTCGAAGCTGGTATTGACACCGACGACGCCGCCGTCAATACCAGCTCCGAGACGTCGAGTAACTAGTCCGATTTTCTCTACACCGACAGCCGGTCATAGTGATGATGATAAGGAACTTTATAATAATAATAACCCTTATTGTTCACTTAGTTATTTATTTAGTACCTATTTGTTCATTTAGTTATTTATTTAGTACCTATTTTTTCACTTAGTTATTTTATAGTTTATTAATATTTCTTAAGCTAAGTGGGAGGGTTGTTGTGTATTTTACATAAGTGGGTAACCGGAGATTAATATGTGTGTATGTTAATACGCGTATTCCTGCGATTAAAGAGTGTGCAACAGACTAGCGAGTTTGATTGACGTACTTTCCCTATCTTCATATACATCAGTAACTTAACTTTCGTTTCATTCAACAGGGCGACTCCACGATATATTGTTACGAAGTGACATGCGAAGCTCCGTTCCTCTGCGCTCTGTCTCATCACAGAGCGTCTACGCTGCATCAAGGCATCGCTTTCTTGCAAAAGAATTTGGTAGCTGTGGAAAAGGTAAAAAATAATATAAATATATAAATTAACATAAAAAAAAATATAATTAATTAATTTAAGAAAAAATTGTTACTAACATATATGAGACCATGTCTTGAAATAAAAGATTTTTATTTTATTTTATATTTTATTTATTTATAAATAAAATTTATGTTCAACAATATTACGCATATTGTTCTGATTCAGATTCCAATCCAAAGTAATTGTACTTATCCTACTAATATTAAAAACGTGAAAGTTTGTATGTTTGTTATTCGATCTCGAAAACACTACTGAACGGATTTGGATGGAATTTGGGTTTGCATGTAGTTTAATACCTGTGGGATTTGAAAAAAACGCGTACAAAGTCGCGGGCGGCCGACTTGTGTTATAGAAATCCTAACCTACTCCAAAATATGTGTATAAATTAAAATCGGAAGTAAGAATGTAATATTTACTCAATCAAAAAGATAAGTACATGCAATAGTACAGTAATAATTTTTTCGAAAGATTAGTTTTGTCCTAAATTGTAGAAACCGACCCTTAGATTTATATAGTAAATATTTTTTTACAGGTTGAATTCGCTCGGGCGTTGCGACTCACGAATGGAAATATCGAGCCACTGTCATTCACTGTGCCTAGGATAAAAGTAAGCTTCTTTTCATTTAAACATGAACGGTCAAACCACAAAAACACTGTTTTAAACCATATGTTTTAGTAACTTTTGTATGACACTGTCTTCATTAACTCGTGTTAAGAGCTAGACTAACTTTTTGGTAAGGCAAACAGAACTTTCGGTTAATTGGTGCGCATCAAAGGGACATAATGATGAGATGAAGGGTCACGAGGAGCTCGATGGCGCAAGTGGTTAGCGCGTTCGGCTGCGATCGTTGAAGTTAAACACTTTTCGCAGTGGTCGGTCATTGGATGGGTGACCAAAAATCTTCTATCTCGAGTTCCTCCGTGCTTCGGAAGGCACGTTAAGCCGTTGGTCCCGGCTACATCTGCAGTCGTTAGCACCCGCCAATCCGCCCTGGGCCCGTGTGGTGGGTCATGGCCAAATCTCCCTATTCCATCCATGGGGAAGGCCTGTGACCCAGGGGAAATTAATAGGCCGATGATGACGATGATGATGAAAAGGTGATAACGCGATAAGATTCGTGCGGTTGGCTACATTTCGCTCGCTTTGTTGACAGCGAAACTCCATTATGAATCCTCAAAGAGCCAACCCCAAAAAAAAAAGAATTGAAAAACTTTAAGTGAAAAAAGAAAACCACCTTTTCATCTTGTTGATAATGTTTTTTTTTCAAATGTGGCCAGTGCGTGTTGTTGTAGATGGTAGTCAAAGTTTTGTCACATTATCGGGACATGAATATTATGCTGAGCGAATAATGTTTGCTTGTTTAGATCTGTTCAGTACCCTTAGCACGAACCAATATTGAATTCGTATCGTTTGCGAGTCCGACATGTCATTGTCAAATATGTACTAATTTTTAGTTCTCGTTACGTACTTTGTGCCGCTGCTGTTCAAGTTGCCGTACAAAATTTGACATTGACATTTCGGTTCGCAAACTATTCGAATTCGATAATGGTTCGTGCTAGGAGTACTGAGCACAAACTAATATCGAATTTAAATAGTTGAATTCGATCTATTTTATACGTCAAATTTGTACTGATTTTTAGTTCTCGTTACGTCCGTTGTGGCGCTGCTGTTGAAGCTTCCATATAAAATTTTCACAATGACATTTCGCACTCGCAAACTATTCGAATTCGATATGGGTTCGTGCTAATGGTACTGATCGCAAGTGAAAACGTAACATTACGTGTAACTCTAACGCCCAGAACAAGAACTAGCATAGACGTAATGCTATGATGTTTGAGCGTACACTCCCAAAGATAATAGATTAATGAAAATAGAAAAAGAAAAAAAAAACAAAGTATTACCCAACCAGAAAGTATTAGTGGCGTGCTGGCAGGTTGCATTTGACATTAGATCGCTTTTTGATTTGGTATCGTAAAGGTAACCATGGTATTCAATTCTCCCACCTTCCCCTTTCCTTCAGAGGACCACGCGCGATGGCCTTCGGTGTCATAGTCTAGCTGTGGCCACAATTCCAACGCGTGCAAACAAATTTCGTGACTCATTTCTCATGGCAGAACATTCCAGTTACGGATAGTGCGGCAAGCACTATCCGTAACTGGAATGTTCTGCCTGCTCACGTGTTCCCTCCTTCTTACAACCTGGGATTCTTTAAAAGAGGCGTGAAGAAGCAACATGTAGGCCGGCAAGGTGAGGATGGCTGGTGTGGCAGGTAGAACTGCCATTTTCTCTTCTGGACTTCACCGTCACTTAACATCAGGTGGAGTGGAGTCATTTTCGGACCTATCTATGTAAAAAAAAGCTAAATATATGAGTCGACTTTATGAGTTGAATTTAAAATCCTTCTATGCTTAAGTTCTTGTTCTGAGCTTTAACGTTTGTCTACCCAGAGCGAGTTGTTCCAAGACGACCTGTTCCCCCCGACGCTGGTGACGTGGCAGCCCTGGATGAGCGGCGCTGATTGGTTGGCGGGCCGAGCGATACAGCCCCGGACTGCGAGTCTGCAGCCCGAAGGCATGGAGCCCCGTGAGTATAATAGTTTAAGAATTTATTAAGCTCACAAGAATTTATATGAAATTCACTTACGTGAGACTATCACAATAGTTTTCCATCAAACACTTTTCAGAGAACAAGTCATACACAATAACACTAGAAACACCACAGTTTCCCAAAAAAATGACATACAACATTGACATTACTATATTTATTCAGATTATGCAGGTAGTTTTAGAAAAATTAATGTTAATCATCACCGCACTGCGATGAGACTTCGATATAAAGCACAAACATAGACAGATAGATAAACACACAAAAGTTCAAGAAAATTATTAAAAAAACTACTAATTTGACTGTAGGCAAATACAATAGGCAATTTGACAGTATGAAAAATAAAATACCAATTGTTGACATCTGTATTTAATATGAATATCAGCAGCGATTTCACATTTTCTGAGAGAACAAGTAATCGGTTCGATCAGTGACCGAAAACACTTGGGATTGGCGAATACTAAAATGACGTCACACGCTAGTACATTGTATCGTATGACGTTTCAATGACAGTCGTGTGACGTCGCGCACCAGTGCACAGTGTTTTATGGAACCAAAAAAATTTACATGTTCAGGTTTTTACATAAATAGATTATTTATACCCTAAAAAAGGCATGAGTTCAATTCCCAGAAGTCTAACTCAAATACTTTTTGAGAAAAAAAATCATGAACTTATCGTGACCTTTGACCTATGAAATCTAGAATATTTTTTTATAAAGTGAATATTAACAATATATTTTTTTAATAAATATGTGTCAATCGGGCATAATCAGAGGCGTATAAACGCGTTTCTTTAGCTTAAAAAAATGCATTGGTTTGGGAGCAGCAATTTTTTTTTGTATTTCGTATTTATTGTTTTTTCTCCCTAAAAACGAAAAAGTGGAACTTAGAACTTCGATAGAAATAAACCTACGGATGTGGTCTATCATACATAAATAAGCCACGTGTCACTTTTGCGACGATTAGAAGATATTCATTTTTAAATTTTTATGCTAGGGTTGACACCGAACCTGACCTCGAACGAAAATTTTTAAAATATAAATTTGTGTATTAGTTTTGAACGAGTTTACAATAATGTAGATTTTAGGAACTTACTACAGTACCTTTAACATATTTTTATGGGCTCCAAGCTCTATTTGCAAAAAAGGAACGCTTATGGTGATTCCCAGTCAAGGCGGAAGTCATTATAATGGATATCGATTTTCGTTTTCGGGTCTGAGTATTAACTATTAATTGTTTGTTTTGTGTGTGTGTTTTGGAGACCCAATTAGACACAAGTTCATGCCTGCTTACCTCTACGTTTTTTTTTTGTAACAATAATAGTTACACCTACTAACTGATTTATGCCCAAGATTTGTTTTTATTTTCTGATCGAATGCCTGAATGATTCTGAATGAATTTTGAAAATTTTTTCAAGCAACATAGTTCATTTTTTCGTTACCATTTAGCGTGTAAGGTACAAAGTTAAAATGTGGTCGATCAAACATAAAGTATTCCTACATTATCACATCTACATTAGGTAGGTACCTAGTATATGTAAGTATATTGTATTCGTCCACAAGTGTTGTTAATTTATTCAATTGATTGACGGTATTAATTAACAAACAAAAAATTTAACATTTTCATTTAACTCATAGTTGACCTTTGTGACAATCCTAGATCATGAAAGTTGACCTTTATCTTAATTCTGTCATAACTTCTTAAAACCGCAAAAGTGAAACCTGTTTTTTTTATGGGTGATAGAACTTGGCTTATAGAACCTTTCTGTACTAAATCCAGGTTCCACTTTTGCCGATATTTGGAGAAAAAAATTAAAAATCGAAATTAAAAAAAAAAAAAAATCTCCGAAACTAGGACACTTATAAATAAAATAAAATTGCAAAATTATGCCTTTAATAATTCCTTATCAAGTGGCAAATATCTCATGTACAGATATGGAACCGTCTTTTGAGGAAATTAAATTGTTAATTTTTTAATGCTCAAATTTCAAAAACTTTGCTACTTCATATCTTTTTTTTTAATGGAAATAGTGATCTGAGAATTGAACTCTTGCCCTTATTAGGGTATAAATAATTGATTTATGCAAAAATCTTAAGGTGTAAATTTTTTTGGGTTCATAAAACACTGTGCAGTGAGACGCCATAATGTCCAAAGAAACGTTCTTGCAGCGACTTTAAAATGTTATTTTTGATTTAGGTTTTTTTTTAATTGAAATAAACAATAGAATGATGAATATCCACTTTTTATGGACTCCATAAACATAAGTAAATAACGTGAGATCGTTTTCTAAAACCTGTCAAACATCCTATTGAGCGGTGTTCATCAGACAGCGACCATTGCACAGTGTTTTATGGAACCAAAAAAATTTACACCTTAAGATTTTTGCATAAATCAATTATTTATACCCTAATAAGGGCAAGAGTTCAATTCTCAGATCACTATTTCCATTAAAAAAAAAGATATGAAGTAACAAAGTTTTTGAAATTTGAGCATTAAAAAATTAACAATTTAATTTCCTCAAAAGACGGTTCCATATCTGTACATGAGATATTTGCCACTTGATAAGGAATTATTGAAGGCATAATTTTGCAATTTTATTTTATTTATAAGTGTCCTAGTTTCGGAGATTTTTTTTTTTAAATTTCGATTTTAAATTTTTTTCTCCAAATATCGGCAAAAGTGGAACCTGGATTTAGTACAGAAAGGTTCTATAAGCCAAGTTCTATCACCCATAAAAAAAACAGGTTTCACTTTTGCGGTTTTAAGAAGTTATGACAGAATTAAGATAAAGGTCAACTTTCATGATCTAGGATTGTCACAAAGGTCAACTATGAGTTAAATGAAAATGTTAAATTTTTTGTCTGTTAATTAATACCGTCAATCAATTGAATAAATTAACAACACTTGTGGACGAATACAATATACTTACATATACTAGGTACCTACCTAATGTAGATGTGATAATGTAGGAATACTTTATGTTTGATCGACCACATTTTAACTTTGTACCTTACACGCTAAATGGTAACGAAAAAATGAACTATGTTGCTTGAAAAAAATTTCAAAATTCATTCAGAATCATTCAGGCCTTCGATCAGAAAATAAAAACAAATCTTGGGCATAAATCAGTTAGTAGGTGTAACTATTATTGTTACAAAAAAAAAAACGTAGAGGTAAGCAGGCATGAACTTGTGTCTAATTGGGTCTCCAAAACACACACACAAAACAAACAATTAATAGTTAATACTCAGACCCGAAAACGAAAATCGATATTCATTATAATGACTTCCGCCTTGACTGGGAATCACCATAAGCGTTCCTTTTTTGCAAATAGAGCTTGGAGCCCATAAAAATATGTTAAAGGTACTGTAGTAAGTTCCTAAAATCTACATTATTGTAAACTCGTTCAAAACTAATACACAAATTTATATTTTAAAAATTTTCGTTCGAGGTCAGGTTCGGTGTCAACCCTAGCATAAAAATTTAAAAATGAATATCTTCTAATCGTCGCAAAAGTGACACGTGGCTTATTTATGTATGATAGACCACATCCGTAGGTTTATTTCTATCGAAGTTCTAAGTTCCACTTTTTCGTTTTTAGGGAGAAAAAACAATAAATACGAAATACAAAAAAAAATTGCTGCTCCCAAACCAATGCATTTTTTTAAGCTAAAGAAACGCGTTTATACGCCTCTGATTATGCCCGATTGACACATATTTATTAAAAAAATATATTGTTAATATTCACTTTATAAAAAAATATTCTAGATTTCATAGGTCAAAGGTCACGATAAGTTCATGATTTTTTTTCTCAAAAAGTATTTGAGTTAGACTTCTGGGAATTGAACTCATGCCTTTTTTAGGGTATAAATAATCTATTTATGTAAAAACCTGAACATGTAAATTTTTTTGGTTTCATAAAACACTGTGCATTGGTACTTGGAACACATTTTAGCTTGCTTCAAATATGCCCCCTCTGTTCTTTTTCTGCTTAACAATGCTCAATAACAAAATTAAAAATTTCATTCCTAGTCGTAGTGTGCTGCAGCAGCCTGAAAGGGATAACACAGTTCACTTTGGAATGTTCCATTGAGAAACAAGACACTGACTTATTGTATGAAGACAGTATTTATTTACCGTTAAAAGATAAAAAGAGTCCATTTTTATCAACTAAGGTGTTCTGAGAGTCCAATTGGGACCAGTAAGTCGGTAATAAAGAAGAAAAAATTGAACACGGTCATTAAGGTCTCTGTAGCGTAATTAAATAAATATTTTCAACACTCACGCCATTTAGTCTAGCCCCAAAGTAAGCATTGTAAGGCTTGTGTTATGGGATACTAGGATAGAATACATATATGATACATAAATAAGTATATTTATATAGAAATACATATTAAACATCCATGACTGGAGTACAAATGCTCGTATTCATCACACAAATATCGTACGGAGGTCGTCAAATTGGTTGAAGGACAAGGCACTTGACGGATGATTCGATTTTCCATATGCCGACTGTCATGCCGTCAGTTCTTTCGTATGTTTGCAGTGATCGGATGTGAAAAATTGGTAAAATGTCACAAAATTAAAAAAAACGTCGCGTGGTACTGGATGACATTTTGATACATATACCGCAATGAAAAATGTTTATGACTAATAAAAATTACCATAACTCATTAAATGTATTTTTTAAACGAATATGTGCTCCTTTTTTAGCTAGGGTTTGCACCCTAAACGACGACGAATATTATTATAATTAAAAACGAACCAGAAACATAGTAGGTAAGAAAAGTGCGAATTTTCTATCGAAATTTAGTTTTTCGTTGAATTACAGTAGGCCTCCTGAGTGGTCTCCGTCATGCCACTTCTCCACTTGAGTGGCCACCATAATGACTTTGCAGCATCTGCCTAACACGGAATACCACGAAAGTATTGAAGCTAAAATAATACGTACATTACTTAATTATCATAATCAGCCTATTAATGTCCCCACTGCTGGGGCACAGGGCTTCCCTATGGATGGAATAGGAAGATTGCCAGCCCAGTGTGGATTGGCGGGTGCTAACGGCTTAACGTGTCTTCCGAAGCACGGAGGAACGGGAGAAAGAAGATTTTTGGTCACCCATCCAATGACCGACCACTGCGAAAGTTGCTTAACTACAACGATCGCAGCCGAACGTGCTAACCACCTGCGCCATCGAGCTCCTCGCTCACATTACTTAATTACATAAATATAATACCCAGTGTCGGCGCACTCTACGCCATCTCCCGTGACTCGTGAAGCTCGCGAGAAACCCCAACAGAAGCCCAAGCCGGATCTTATACGGTCGCACGTGCCGATCGATGCCAAGGAGAAACAGGAAAATGTGAGTTGTTGTGCATTACAAATAAAATGAACTAACTAATAAATATTTCTAATAAGTTGTGGTTTGACTAAACATAGAGCAATACGGACGCTATCTGGATGGGAAGAGCCATAGAAGAGCAAAAAAATGGCTAAAATCATGCTTTCGATGGTGTTAACACTGAGTGACTGACATTTCCTCATTAGAGTTCATTTCAAAGTCTGATTTTAGGATAGTCTAATCTAAAACTGGACTGACCTCCATTGTCTTACTCTTACATGCACAATCAGTGTACAGATACAACACACTTCAATTAGCTATATTTATTGGTCAATCAGTTGTTTCAGTCGCAGCACGCTTCGATGACTAAAAAAAACGAGTATGCTTATGACCACACGACTGAAGTGAAACTTCTTTAGCTCCATCTGTACAAAAGTATGTTCAATAATGATTATCAAATGAGATACGGTAGCGAAATATGTACAAGCCTTCATTCTGGACGGTTTAAGCAGTACGGGCCTCCATGTACCAGCTATCTTCGCGTTTGGACTTTATCACCACTTAACATCGGGTGGGGCAGAGTCATTTGCCTACCTCGCTATAAAAAAATGCGGGCCTGGTGCGGATAGTGGGTGCTAACGATTGCAAATGTAGCTGGAATAAATGGATTATCGTGCTTTCACTAGCACAGAGAAGCTTCAAATAAAATAAAAAACGAGTGTACACTATATACATGTATGTACATAAACATATTTCATTTACTAGCTATAAGAGAAAGAGAGGAAGAAAAGGTGCACGCGCACTGCTTTCTCTTGTTTATATCTCCCACTCAACTCCCGTTCGCCTCGCCCGATCACACTTTTCGTAACGCGTTCGCCAGCTTACCCCCCAGGTCAAGCGTGCGTAAAGAAGTTTCACTTCAATAAAAGTACCACAAAAGCTGCACACTTTTCAGACGTTCGGTTTTAGAACAGATCTCTAACCTAGTAGGTCGTTATTTTCAATTATAGTAATGGTTACCATATTGTTTTTTTCCCCTAACAGATTATGAAATCCATGAGTGCTAAAATGCAAGTGGATCTGAAACTAGAACAGGACAACATGGAAGGGGTCGACGAGTCCGAATGGGACCAGTGAGTCGGCAATAAGTGCAATTTTACCGTAGCTTAGCGCGTCAAAATCATCAAGCCGACTTTTTATTACGAAATTAGTGGCATCGAAGTAATTACGTGACATTTTATCAACGATATTTCACATGTAAACGTCGAGAGAAATTAATAAAATTATTATCACAAATATTTTTATGCCACTAATTTCGTAATGAAAATTCGTCTTTACGGCTAGCGCCTTGTCACATCGCAGCACTTTAGGGCAATATGACCTTTAGCTGCAGATACGTTAGTCAGACAAGGTGCTATTGTATATGTATCCAATGATTCTGACTGTATGTAATAATAATAATTATTGGTAGGTTAGTTTATTATTCAGTTTTCTACATGACGAGACACGTTTTACATCTGTCCTTATGAGGCTCATTGATAATATAGAACGATCTTTAAGGTTCGTTTACGCTATGACACGATTTCTTTTTTTATTGCGAATTAAGGCAAGTATAACGATGTTTGTCAACTCTACTATGGTGTTACAATGACATTATCATTATAGCTTATTTACAACATGAAGTTGATATAATGAATTCATTAACGTAAGTGTAAAATATTCTTTAGAAACCTAATCAAACTACGTTTCCTAATAATGACGTTTTATTTATTATATTAAAATGATAAAACTAAATATAGACTCTCGAACACTACCCTCTCTGTCTGTCTGCTTGCGTGACGCAGTCGGGTAAAAAGAGGAATCATTACCAACCAATTAACATGATCCGAAGAGGCTTATTAATACATGTGATTTTAAAACTTATGTACTTTTCGAATTACACTTACATACCTAAAATTGTAACATGAAAACAATGAACTTTATACGAGATGGAAAAAGATTACGAATGCATGTAAGAATATGAGGATTGGCAAAATTAATAAAACGATATTAAAACATGAAAAAATCGAACTATTCAAATTATTTTCATAGTAACAAGCCTGTGATATTACTTTGGTCGTAAAAAAAAACTTTCTGTCTTCTGCACATTATAATGCGCATATGGATCTTTTATTCAATGAGTGGAGATTGTAGAATCATAAAAACAATACTCATAACGAGTAGTTGCAAAAAAATTATACAAAAATGAAATAGCATTTAAAATGTGCAAAAATGAAATCAAATCGTTGATGCAATGCAAATTTAAAACATTACCTCCGTCCTTATATGAAAAGGATCTATTTTTAGTAGATCTTTTAAGACTGCCCTCTTAATTGTGTACTTTTTTTTTTTAAAATATTCAATAACTTTTTTTTTCTTCAAAATTGTTTCTTTGACTATAAAACATAGATAAAAAGTTAGAAATTCCAACAAAAGACGTTAAGAATAATTTTTGAAACAGTATTTTGCTACCGTATTTTTTAATTTATTATTTTATATACCTACTGCATTTAATATAATAGCAGTAGGTATTTATTTCCTTTCCATTTACAGCATTATTGAATATGCTATGACTGATAAAGAATACGGTTTAAAAGTGGAAGTCGGTTTCCAGCAGCGATTACACATATATCATTTAAAAGCTTGTTTTATGTAAAAATATGAACAGATATTTATATTTTTTTATTTATCTCCCATTAATTTTAAATTGTGTTTGAAAATTGAACAATTTCGTAAATATGCTGGCCACCCTGTCAATAAGTAACGTTATATTTTTAGTCTGCAACAGTTTATTAACTTCAACTCAATCACTGTTAAATGTCAATCAGTCCAGCCATGCCCGATATTCGTGAAATCGTAGTGAAATTATTATGTATGCCAATTTTGGCTTGATTTTTCTTGAAATACCCACAAAATACCTAATAACATAATGAGAGAAACACGGAAGAACGGAATCATTAATACTGCTTTAGTTACCTATTGAATAGAACATATTTGATGCTTTGGCAACAAAAAATACATAAATAAACTTGCCAATTGCCAATCAATAACTATGTCATTTTAAATTATAATAATTATTTTAAAAAATTGGGTAAAAAATAAATTTTAGTTTTTTGTCAAACGATTTACAATTAACTGCACTACATGTCTTAAAAATTTGGAGTCTGCCGTAGACTGACAACCACCCTCCATACAAATTTGAACCGTGTGTTTTAGTTTCACGTTATGGAATCATGCCAAATTAGTACCGCTAATCGGTATGGAGGTTGTGCTTTTGAAAAATAAAAATTTGTAGCTTGAAATCAGTTTTTACAGTCACATTCGAAGATCAACACGATTATGGTAAGATAGGCCGTTTCCTACTTTGACATTAATTCATTCTATTAAAATATAAACTTTCTATGTTTGTAAGCAGTAAGGGCTCCCACACAAAACTGCATCGCAATGCGATGGAATGCGAATTCGTGCGGCAAAGCTTTGGTTAGGGTGGCCATACATTCAACGGTAGTCAGCCGTATTGGACGAGTTTTAGTAATAGTGACATGGGTAAAAAGATTGTTACACTGCTGTTAATATTAAATAGATATAAAAAAAGAAGATTTTGGGTTCATCTATTTATTACGATTATGAACGCCGATGGGAATTATTTTACTCGAGAATACCTACTATGGTTTGAGAACAGAAAAAGATAATAATATATTTTTTATTAATTTTTAAAAATGGGCTTATCTTCATTTCATGAGCTTTTGAGTTTAATATCACCATATTACAAAAACGATCGCACAATGGAAGTCTCAGAGTGGACTAAAATAGCGTCATCAAGTGTGACGTAATATGGCAGGAATGCGCGATGCGAATCAGATCGAAAGTTTTCGTGCGTGCTCGCAGATTTTTGCGATGCGATGCGAATTCGCAGTTGTGTGTGGGAGCACTATAAATTACAATGAATTGTCAAAGTTCGTGTAAATAATGTTTCAGAATATATTTTGTATTAACTTGTACTTTATGCACTATAGCATAAAGTTGAACATGCTTCATGTTTCTGTTTTTAAACGAGCCTTCAGGGATTGTTCCCCAAGTAGTAGCTAGTATTGGCTAGATTTTTGTATATGGAATATTTGCGATTTAGCACATAAGTACCCATATACTAAATTATACCCGACGACCACTAATATTTTATAGAAGTTTTTCCTGTGTAATTTATAACGTGAATTTAATATAAAATATATAGCTCACATTTAAAATACTTAGATATAAATAAAATAGACACGATACATTTAAGAGTTCTTTACTAATATTCAACGCCAACCTTCAATCTTCACTTTTTTGTTGAGATAGGAGTCGTATTTTGAGGTTGCGGTTGCGTTTAATATGCTGTCGATTCTAGGATCTTGGAAAAATACTCGGTAGGCGAATGTGTGAGAATCTCATTTCAAAATTGATTTAAAACTCAGTTTGAGTTTGTCAACAGTCATGTTACTAATGTAATGTAAATTATTGGGGAAAAAGGTTTATTTGGTAATTTTATTTCTTAATTGTATTAAATTTTTTTTAATGTTCTAATATTAAAAATAAAGTATTATTTATCTATTAAACATTTTTTTTTGTTTCTAGAGAATCAATTTCTTTCTAAATTCAAGTACACTGCCATCAGGCCTGTTACAGTCTAAATCCCCTGCATATAGTTTTCTTGAATAAAAATGTTGTTAATTAGAAATGAAATGTAGTTTACTAGGACTAAAAAACATACTAGACTTTTTAATTAAAGAAGGTTGTGTGAAGAAAAGAAACAATCTTATATCTCCATTTGTCAAACTAAAGGCAAATGCATTGCTTTAGAAAGTATCGTATGAGCTTTAAATTATTTTTCCAAAAAAGACATGCTTTTTTTAAATACCTTGTATTATCATAACCATGACTATGATCTCTTATCATTTGACATAATGTTCATTTAAATGCTCATATTTAAGTAAGAAGTACCCATTTTTTTATTAATAATAAATAATAACATGCAAACTTGATGTACCTATAATAAAATATTGTCTGTGTGATATTATTGTTCCTACTTTTTTCCACTTGAATTTGGTATAATGTTGATACATTGTGACAGTTTAATCTTCTTATTTGTAATACCTATTTCAACTTTATTATTATTATTTGATTCATTATAAAAAGATCACAGTGTAACATGTAAATAACCGTTTAAATAGAGTTCACTAACGGTTGTCCAGGTTTGAAAAAAAAAAACTTTGTATATTATGTGACATGCCTCTTGTTTGACATTGAAACAATAGCAACTAAGTAACTTCATACTTATGCTCAGTTCACACTTGTCTTTGAATCTTGATGGCAGACTAAGTAGACCTTTTTAAGTTGAATTAGTTATCATGGTGTTATAATGCAGATTTTCTCATTTGGGTGAAATATTTAAAGCGTACATAGAGTGAAACAACACCTGTAAAAATATGTAGATTTTGAATTTGTAGACTGTAAAGATAACATAAGGTTGGGGTGCTAACACTGTAAGTTGATAATAGCTTGCGCTTCATTCGTTCAATAAAAGTGGAAAAAAATAAACTACAGGGATAAAGTGCAAGCGATTTACACCCTAAAGCGATGGTACGACAACTTAAATATTTAGCTCACTATAATATTTCATCTGTCTTTCTAACAAATGACCAAAAAATTAACCTCTAAATAGTCGCTCATTTGCCATTACAAATGCATTTATTATTACGATTTGTATTTGCATATTTAATTATGATATTAATGTAAAATTTGTTTAAATATAAGATGACATAAGGTACTCATACGTTATAGGTAATTGACTGTAAACATTGTTTATTAAGTGGAAAATTATTGGGAATAACGTAAATGTCATTTGTTAAGTTGAAGTTTACCTTATTTTAAGGTCTTTGGAGCCATTTTAAGATTTTATTTTCTTCAAATGGTTTGATGGATTAGTACGATGGTCTTTTTGGTAACAAACATTTAAATTATTCCCATCATGATGTAAAGTACCGCCAGTGGATGCCATAAGAAACAACACGTTTTGCTCAAAACGCCAAAGAGTTTGTTTTCTTGTCGTCATTGTAATT